GCGATGCAGAATTATATATTTTTGGGATTTATTTACCGTCACAACTCACTCCTTTCTGGTAGGGTAGTGATGTCTACAAGACGTGGTCAGCTGTAAGTTTCAACTCGAGGAGCTTATCATTGGTAAACGCTCTTCTAAAAGCTTGTTATGTTCATAGGCATCTGATGTCCTTTCTCTTATATAAAATGCTATGTGGTACTATATAGCATTGAAGAAAACATACTGAAAATTTTTATTCATCTTATTCTTCTCCAGTTTTTTTTCATTTTTCCAGTCGTCCTGAAAATGTAAGAGTACTTGTAAGAGCACGTCAAAATTTACTTGTTCTTGCGTAAGGGCAAACGAAAATAGGAAAATACAATGGTATTCATGTGTTCTGTTATCTAAAATAGCGTCGGATACCAGAGTAGTTTCTTCGTGATCGTAGAATATTGGGGAAGATATCGTAATTGCGGGACTCATGTCTTTTCGAGTGTGCAGAAAGAGAATCAACATCACTAGGATTCCTTTATAAATACGTGGCTTTAAGATGGTAAGAGTTGACGTTATTGTTAGCTTCATTTTTATCGATGGTACATTATTTAGGTTTGCGATGAAGTACTTTGAATGGCCTGTGATGTTATTCTTTCGTAACCACTTGACCTTTATAGCTGAACATCTAGTTACTGAGATTTATATATAAAATTTAGCACTTAAACAGAGTCAAAAATAGTGAAAAACAGGAACAATAGGTCAGTATGGTATGGCTCAACCTTACAGGCATTGTCATTCTGCTTAACTCATACCCTTCAATACTAAAATATATTATTTTATCCCGAGCCGACATGAGTTCTTCAGAAGTACTTAACATCATATCGCTGGTCGTCACGATGGGACGGCTCAGTATAAACAATGATGTGACTTTTACGTATGATCTCACAGGTTACATGGTCACATTGTGGCAGGTCCGCAATTCTGGAATTACGTCTATTAATGTAGTAGTACTGTTACCAAACCAAACCATAGATTTACAGGTCCTTCGTATGTCATTATGAGGTCGTCGTAATGAAAGCCGACGTACGAAGATATGAGTACTCTTATAAGGTATGTTGAAAAATACGCAGACTGACTTTGTTCGAGTGGAAATAGGTTTAACTGGACGTATGGCGTTCGTAAGCCGAGAAGCTCCGTGAACGAGTTGTGCTGCAGTCTATTCGACTTCAGCTGTCACTTAATTGCGAGTACCGAGCACCATTGGTAGAAAAGGGTCATTCCGCTGTGAAAAGTTCGCAGCTCAGAAGGAAGAATCCAACTGTCGGTGAAACCGTTCTACCAGCCCGTCACCTTGTGAATGGTGAGCAGTCTTTCGGACTCCTAATAGCCAAGTAAGACAACGGAAAATTCCAGATTCAAGTCAATGTCCACGGCTTGTAGTGATAGTTTAAGGGCAGCCGAGGATTATCCCTTTCATCATTCCGCGAAGACACAGGCCATTGTTTCAGCAGTAGTGTCCTCAATGAATATTGCTTCTGGTCATCTTGTGAAACTATCCACACACGTCGAAAGGTAAGACTATACATTTGAAGCTTGTAAGGGTCCTAGTAAACCAAGATGAACATGGTCGAAACTAGGGTCGGGAGTTTTGAATCCACCCAAGGGATATTTGTTCTGCCTAATCACCTTAGATGTCTGGTAGTTTACATAGGAGCGTGTCCACTGTCTTACGTTTTTATTAATATAAGTTCAAAAAATTCGTTTTGCTATGAGCTTGATGATTGCTATAATACCTGGATGATGAGGATTATGAGACGTATTGTAAACACTGAGTCTATAATGTTTTGTCACGATTGGACTATCCTTACCTGTAGGTGTATCACATAGTAGAGTTTTCTCAACCGTTCTCATGTTTGATCCGTAGTTTTAGGGTTGTCAGAGATATCTCATACTGACGAACTGTGTCATCGTTTCAAAGCTGGGAGAGTACGTTGACTGCTTGAAAATTGTGCAAGGAAGTTATGCTAAGAAAATTGTTTACCACATCATTGTTTTCCCCTGAAATGTGTTGTATATCTGAATTGAAATTCGAAATATAGTCAAGTTGTCGAGTATATGTTCGAAAACGAGCTTAGACGGAAGGTGAAAGGTATACGGTCGGCAAACAGAGGGAATTTTCGGCCCTTACACAGTGTTGAAAATTCCATACACAACAACATATGACTATGGATCCCCTAACGAAAGTGTTTTACCTCGGTTCAGTGTCTTATAACCACCTTGAGAAGAATGCTAAAGGTTTTCACGTGTTATTTACCCGGTGTTTTAAGACTCCTTTGATTGCCGGGTCGGATGCGTCTGCTACGGTGCCAATGTGTGTTCTGGTGCGTGAGCACAGTTGAAGAGTCCCCTTTTGATGTTATCGTCCGAATTGGTAGGTTTTGCACTTCCCCGTATTCGGTTGGCTAAGGATCTTATGGGAGACTCGTAATTCTGTACTAGATCACCGAACTCATGTAATTGTTTGACCGCAGTCGTTTCTGGGTAATCCATAATAGTGGCCAGTTTACTTTTCAGATGGTGCATGCTTTGACATTTCTGAATGTTTACCGTAATTCCATGTTTTTGCAGTAATCCGAAGACGAGGTTCAGATTATGGAGATGAGATTAATTGTCGGGACTTGAGATCACACAGTTGTCTACTTATGTATTTGCGAAGTTGAGACCTCTAAAACATCATCGATGAATCTCTGGAAAACTTGTACATCATTACTTAAACCGAAAGGCATGATCAAGATTTGTAGAGTCCGGAGGGAGGGATGATAGCTGTTTCAGAATTATAGTCAGCAGCCAGAAGAATTCGGTTATATGTTCTGATCGGATCGACTTTCGAAAAAACGGCTGTGCTTTTTAGTGTAGCTGTCTAGTCGTGAATATGAAGCAGGGGATGACGACCGGCAATGATTTTCTCATTCAGTCGCCTATAGTCACCAGTTGCATTATATTAGCTGTTGTCCTTCTTAGGGATCATGTGCAAAGGAGGTGGGCATGGACTGTTCGGTGACCAAATGATTCCCAAGTCTATCATATGCTCAAATTGGTATTGGGAAACCTTGGCCTTTCGAGTGATGTACTTACAAAAATACAGGCAGTTCTGTGGTCTTGATGTGGTGTGCAACATCTCGTGCTATGCATTATAATTTTTATCGCGTTACGTAGGTCCATACCAATGATTGGCACAGGAGCATCCGCAACAACGAAAATCCAGTGAATAGGTCTGTCGACACCCATGTTGAGATAGGCATATCACTTGACGTGTGTGGCGATCGGTTTTCAATTGCTACCTGTAAGCTGAAGACCAATTCATGCAGACGGTCTATAGATTTCGTGAGAACTCTTACTTCTGCGCCCGTGTCGATGAGATAACGAACCTCTATCTTCACGTCAGTGATGTATAACAAGCGGCTACATCCGCCGGCTACGGTAGCCGTTAACACGTGCCTGTGTGGAAGCTTAACATGAGGTTCTTCATGTCAGATGGCTTAAAGATTGGGAAATAGCACTTATCCTTGCGATTTTTAGAGGACTTAATATACTCACTGCAGAACCAGCACCGACCAGAATTATCTGCTTGTTGCAGTCTTGAGACAGATCATTTTTTTGACCGGCTTCCTAGAGGAGCTCTGGAGGCGCTCACCACCATGATGAATATTGAGATAATGAGTCAGAGTATGACGAAGTTCTGTAACGTCATTTTGTGTTGTACAAGACTTTTCATTCGCAGAACAAACCTCCATGTTCGCAGCTCTGATGAACTTCAGAACCCGGTCGACAGATGCAGCCAGTTCATCTAAAGCACTACTTTGAGTTGCGTTAAAAACCGCCTGCACCTGCTGGGCTAGCCTAGACAAGGAGAGCTGTTTATACAAGACCTCGTCAAACGTCCTCACGCATGCGTAGCAACATTTCTGTTGCCGATTTGTGTTGCGAATCGATGACGTGGAAAAGCTGGTCCACCCTTTGTCGGTCGGTTAGGTTTTCACTTTTGAAGATAGCCTTCTTTAAAGTGTCGTGTCATTTAGTGACACCACTAGTAAGCATACTAGGCGTGTTTACCTGTTGAATTAGAGTGGTGGTGCATTCAATACTTTAGGGATTGTTCACATGGGTCTTTTACTCCATACTCTGAGAATTCAGCTTCTGCAATACAGAATCAGACTTTGATGTTATCTGTCCAGAATCGTATGATTTGAAAGGTGAGAGCGAAAGCGTCTTTAACTGAGACAACTTAGGTGTCTGTTACATCATAATGAAGACGAGATATAAAAATGGACGAGAAATATCTACAAAAACACAAAACGATATCACTTCATAAAAAGAATAAAACTCAGATGTATAATATTTCAAAGGGGAACAGACTGACAGTTTATTGTTTGATGTACCAGATAACGTTGGGCTGACCACCCTAGCTACCACAGGTATTCGGAGATTAACAACGCCTCCATACGTAACACCCTCATAACCTAAGTATACCTAATCAGTTAAATCAGAAGTCAGAAATGAAGGGGTTCGAGGATATATTTGAAAAGCTGACGATATTTCGAAAAGCGTTTGGTCATAGCCGGCTAGCAATTGCAAAGGATGCGTAGCACGGCGCACATATTCGTGATCTGGTGCAGATATGTGACCGATCGTCTTCAGCTAATGTGTGTCTAGCAAAGCTTATTAGGTTGGCATAAATTTGTGAACTTATTTACCACTACACTGGTTTTGCACTTGATATCTTCACTTTCAATTGTGAAAATTGGATCCTGGAGAAGCAGTCTTCGATTCAGTTGCTTATACTGATCAAAATACTCAGAGTCAACACACGGAAATTAGCATTCTGTGTTTAGCGAGATGAAATCGACTAAGCATTTCTGAGGTGGATACCGTTGTTCGACCTAACCTCATTTACGTTGTTCAATCTTCAAGGCCTGGGCAGTAGTCCGCCTATTTTGTCTAGGCGTTGTGGAGATAATAATGTACAAATGTCGGTCTTAGAAGCTGTACTACAAACCCTGAAAACCCTAAGGTTTGATAACTCAACGGCATCTTCGAATACTTCAGATGCGGAATATGAGAACTTGGAAGCATCTGTAAGTATTTTGATTGAATTGAGACTAATTCATTAGGAAAAACTTAGAGTATTTCACACTTTACCCACACTAGCCAGTAGTCTGGGTCCGGTGGATACACGTGAAAAACTAATACCTACAATCTCAGGTAAGTCTAGCTCCTAAAAGCCTTACGATATATCGTATCATATCCTATGAATAACTTAATCCTTTTTATTTGTAGACGTTGTCTCCAACGCTATTGATGCTGGCGATGACGAAATTCTCATGGTTATAGCTCAAAAGCTGGGTTCTTTTGGTGATCTAGTTGGTGGTGCTGAACATATACCTTTAATTGTGGTAAGTTGTTTATGTACACGTTGAATCCTCAATAAAACATCCAAATTCTTAAATTATACCAAATTCGTAGTGGTTAAGGCCTAGTTTCTTTTACTTACACTTGAAGGATTTCTTTCTTTTAATTCATATTACAAAGCCGACATCAACCTGTCGGAGAGATACTGTAGTGGAACGCAGGTTAGTATGAAAGTATGTTTTAAATTCCGCGATAGGATGGATTGTTTCCCTGTTAGCTAAAAAGTCTCACAAATGATTCGCTTTTTATTGTAAAAGTGATGTTTTAACCATTGTGTTAATATATTGATGATATTTCTCTTCTCATAGCCCATCCTGGCAAATATCATATATTCCATCGAGGAAGTTGTTGTAGCCGAAGCTGCTTGTACTTCTTTGATAGCACTCCTTCCAAAGCTTCCAAATGATGTTGTGGATAGCACGTTCGCCCCGATAATCCGTCACATTATTGAAGGTGAGTTCATATGCCTTACTCGTAACGTCGTCATTTTTTTCTAAATACACTGGCATGGGAACGCACGCCAACCGAAAATTAACGTGTCGTCAGTTTAGCTTCGAAGCACCACATCTAGTTCTAGTCTCATATATTGTCCTCTCAACTGATACTCTGCCAACATTTAGAACCTGGTGCTTAACGAAGGACTTACTGATTCTTAAAACGTTTTGCTTAACTTTCCTTTTGGATTGTCTCAGGTTTAACTGCTCCAGCTTATTTCGTTTTCCCGAACCAGTGGACAGTTTCCTTAAAGATATGTTGCTGAGTGATGAATAAAAGCATTCATTTTGACCCTGATTTCATACTATACTCGAGCACAAATGACCATAATAAATGCTTTCATTTGAAAGTCATACTGACAGATGGTTTTGAAATAGTTGCAGAATAGACTGTTGCAATCACAAAACAATGAAGTTTGTTTGGCGATTAAAATTTCCCACATGAGATTACTGATCTAACTATGGCTGTAATCCGAGTGTTAATAAATTCTCCGGTACAAACAAGATTATCGAGTGGTCCTGGTTTATGACAATTTCGGTCCTTCTGTGTGTCAGTATACATTCTTGCAGTTATTCTTGATTTGTCAACTGATACTAATATAAACTTAATATAAGTTTAATTGTGTACAGATGAATTCTTCACTCTGTTTTCATGTGTAAGTAGCTAAAGAAAGCCTCCACAGAGTACTGAAGATGAGTTTCTCAGAAAAATCTTATCTATTATTAAATGTTAAACAATTATTCCGACCAAGTTGAATGTTTGTCTGTAATGAATCACTGGTTCAGGCATTTGATTTTTAACGAAGATTACGTGCTCGGAACTTGTATATACTGAGGTTTAAATATTTATTTAAACACATAAATATTGGTACAAAGGGGCACCAGATACATATTTGCCACACAAGTCTCATTCCATTTGTGTAAGGGCTGTAGTACTGCCCAGGTGCCCAGACTGAAGCAGGTGGTTTTCTTAGGGGGGCCACACCCGGAGCCTTTGACCTAAAGATCTGATCCACAAGGCATCGTGAAGAGATGCAGTCCCATGGTAGTCAGTGACCAACGATTGATTCATACGCCATTTGTTCCCACAGGATACTGGCACCCATGTGCACCATTGGTTTGGAATTAGGGTTTTGTAACCCCCTAGGTGGACTTTCCGTGTCCACCAACCTGGTTAAAGCACCGGACATTTGGTTTTCGTCCTCTCAATCTTGTAAACAACGCCCGTTGTGCGAGAATGCAGTGAGTAGGACTTCCCTGACAGAAGCTGTATACGCGTGGCCGTGTGAAAACATTTGGAGGGAGGTTGGCCCCTCCCCAATGTCGGCCGTACCAGGCCACGTTTGGGTTCGTTCTGGATAACCACATAACATCACTACCCATTTCAAAAAATGAATGATATAAGTCTAAGTACATAAATATTTTTTAAGGTGATGACTAAACCAGAGTATAATATTCTGTTAAAAAGTCGATTTTTAATCTTATGATAGCTTCTGCCGTAGATGTACTGCATACTTCTTCAAGGTTATACCTTTTAAGAATCCTTGGTTCGCCGTTAGCATGTTTCATAACAGTAGTGTATATTTCTATTAATTTTCCAGAGGATCTTTATTGTGCTTCAAGAAAAGTGGTTACAAAACTCATTATTGCGTGTTATCCAATGGTCTCAGCACGAAATCAAGTGGATTTTAAGTAGTAAGTCATTTGATTTTCGTTTTTTGTTGAGTTTTGGTTCGGGACCACTGACCATTAGTTCCATTCTGTGTCTGGTTGTTGTCTTGTTACTTATTCATTTTTATGGTCTAAATGTTTTGTATTTTAAAGGGTAGTTTTATATTTTATGGATTCTAGCTCTCTACTTCATTACTAACATTTAACCCGGATCTGATTGGCCAATAATGTACAGAAATAGTTTAAGTAATTTCGTCAAATAATAACTTCAAGTTTTATTTGATTGCAGCATTTTGTTTATCCTAAGTAACTTTAACAACTTGATGCTGCTTGCATTTTGGTCGATATGTGATAGATATGCGAAATCATTAGAGTTCACTTAACATTTACATATTTCTTGTGTATGAATTTAATTTTACAAATTCTCCTTTCACTTCTTATATATTGTATAATTTCAGCCGACTTTTCCATTTGGCTGATAGTGAAGATGAAGTCCCTTTAGTTCGTGCTGCTGCTGTTCAACAACTTGTTCCCCTTGCAAAACTTTTCGGTCCAGAATTAAAATCAGAACTAGGTCTGCTACTTGCAAGGTTTGTCAATGTATTGTTATTATTTTTTTAACAGATATGCGCCTATATGTTTTACATTAAAAAAATCACTTTAACCAAATCGTTAACTCGTTTGGTTACGACAATATTTGCCAAAATCACTTTCAACTGTGAATGTTCTATGTGAAATGTTTTTCATCTTTCATTTGTTAAACCTGATCAAGTCTTAAAATAATTCATTTTAAACTCACTTTTAAGTTAGTCGTGATGTACCAAAGAATGTAGAATCAAATGTAGAATCCAGATGCCCTGGTGCGGCCGAGAGTGCGGAGGGGCCACCCTCCCTCTCCAAATGCTCTCACACGGTGACGCGTAGACAGCCTCTGCCAGGGAAGTCCTACTTACTGCATCCTCGTGGCGAGGGTGTTGTTTACGAAATTGAGAGGACAAAAACCGAATGTCCGGAGCCTTAATGGGGTTGGTGGACAAGGCGAGTCCACCTAGGGGAGTTGGAAAACCCTCATTACAAACCAATAGTGCACATGGGCTGGCTCCAGTACCCTGAGAGAACAAATGGCGTATGAACCAACTATTGGTCACCGGTTACCATGGAACTGCATCTCCTCACGATGCTCCACTGCCTTGCGGATCAGACCCTTAAGTCGAAGGCTCCGAGTGTGGCCCCCTAAGAAAACCACCTTCTTTGTGGGCACCTGGGCAGTATCGTAGCCCTCACACAAACCGAATGAGATTTGTGAGGCGCATATGTATCTGGTGCTTCCTTGTACCAATATTTGTGTTTAAATGAATAAATAAAGAATCAGATCAAGTTATCAGTTTACTTTTTTCTGAAAGAAAATGAAATATTTTAAAGTCATTGCTTTCTGTTCTTTATAACAAGCGAATCTTTTAACTATCTAGCTTTCAATGTTTTACTAGTTATATAATCAACTTTCATTAAATTCACACTTGGTAATAGTAAACTATTAAGTATGGTCATAAAGTTGGTGTTTTTCGCGAGTTGAATAGTTGCTGTTAACCGTTAGACATAGTTTGTTTTAGTTATACTTCACATTTTTAAGATGTAGGTGTTCTGAGCTATGAGCATTAAAAATTCTCATACTTAGTCACTGATATCTTTGTAAGTCTTTTAATATTCCGGGTAAATTTCACTGATTCTTTAATTTATAGAAATAAGAGACCTCGCTCAGTATGACGAACAAACTCATGATGTTTGCATATCATATTGACAGTGTGAATTTTGGGTCATATGTTCACTAGTGACTGACTTCAAGAGATATTTCCTTGAGTTCTAGTAGGAAGCAGTGACCAGTGAAGTTCAACCACGTCCGTTGTTGAGATATCAACTCACTGAAGACAATTGGTGAACGGTTGCTCAAAATCGTGGATTGGTTGAATTTAGACATTAACACCGTTGGATGCCGACTCAGTGGTCTATCGATTAAGTGCTCTGGCACGAGACTGGTAGGTCCTGGATTCGGGATCGTGGATGCGCACTGCTGAGGAGTCCCACAATAGAACGAAACGGCCGTCCAGTGCTTGCAGGTTTTCCATGGTGGTCTAATTTCAATTGACTCATGATTTCAACTATGAAAATGTGAATTTTATTTAAATTTGCCATCTATTCTATGTTATTTATATGGATCTTTTCACGTATTTGGTCTGTCAGTGGAAAATATGCAATTCGATAATCTTTTATTGGTATATTCTAACTTACTTAAGCAGACAAAACGGTTCAATTTCCTAATATTCCATCTATTTCTGTGTTGAGTGAAACGAACTTGTGCACTGTTGAAACTATACAGACAGATGTCAGTTTTTCACGTTGTGGCAAGATATTTATTTTCTTAAAAACTATTTGTTAGTACTTTTTCCGATTTGTGAAGTTTGAACATTCTCAAATTTTAATAATAACCATTGTCTTTTCTTTGTATATTTCAGTTTAGTTTCTGATAATCAACGTGTTGTTCGAGCGGCCTGTTTACCACCTTTAGTAGAATTGGGACGTATGATTACAGATGCAGCAGAGTTCGACTCAACTGTTAGACCATGTATTGATAAACTTGCCGGGGATCCTAGCAGGTAATCAGTTTTTCTTCCCCACATATTTTAAGATGATCTAATAACTTAATAAGGATCCATACATCAGGCTATTAAGTTATACGTATTGTACGGCAACATTACGTTATAGGTGAAAGTAATTTGAACCACTGACCATGTTAGCAGATTACTCGTTTATATAGATCTACAAATTTGCAAGATAAAGTATCATGAAATTCCATAACACGAAGCTGTAATCAACTATTAACCGGTATTAGTTTGTGTCAAATTCGTGTTATAAATAGTGCACATTTAAGTTGATCACAAAGAATGAATATTTAAACTCGTATTTGTTCACATAACCGTTGTCATACTCTACTGTTGTATGCCCACAATTATTTGATCACAATGACTAAAATAAGCCATACATAATTAGATGAATCAGATAATGTTATCTGTTGTGTGGTATCAAACTTTCGCGTTGGTTGTCCCCTATATATATTTAACATACCATCCATAAATCTAAAAGGTCAATTAAGGAAAGAGATAGGAAAATTCATTATAAACAAATCGAGTTACAATCAATATAACTTGATAAATCATGTGAACAATAATGTATGATAGGATAAATGCTAAACTAAGATTGTACTACTGATAATGATAAGGATAAAGTTGTATGAAAAGAATTATGATAATGATGATAAACAATTAATTATAGAAAAAGATGAAGACACGTAAGAATATGTCTCTCTACACGAAAGTTCAAATGACTACACTGCACAACTATACAACTATTGAAATATATTCAAGTAAACATTCTAAGAAAACCGAATCCACTTTATTACTTCAATCAGGCGATGTGTGTGTGTATATATGTCTAATCTTCAATTTAATGCAGACTGTATCTCATTTGAGAAAGACTGATAAAATTGACAAAAGTGTAATATTATGAATTAGACATTAAAACCTCCGATCCAGTGGTCGGGAGGTTTAGGGTTTCTCACGCAAGACTAAAGGTCCTGGGTTCTGTTCCCTTTGCTAGGGTCGTGGTTGCGCACTACTGGGGTTTTCCACACTAGGACGAAATGGCCATTCAGTACATACAGGTTTCTAATGGTGGTTTAGCGAAGATCAATTCATCTTTTAAACTGAGAATTATAATAGTTGAAATATCCTGATGACTAATTCAGATAGTGAATTATCTGTATGTTTAGCTATTTTGTCAATTTTAATTTAATAACCAACTGTTGGTTTGCATATTCATCTGTACACTTCATGCATTATATGGATTATTAATAATTCTTTCTGATTATATGAAACATTGATAGAACCAGTTTTTGGTTTGTAAAAGTTCTTACCATTAAAATCAATCAATGATAGTTCTACTTCATAATATATATATTTGCAATAACCCAATCAGCAGAAAAGAGTATTTCTGACGTTTCATGACTTAATGTAAGTCATTTCTTCAGAGAAGTAAATTATAGCTCTGCTGCGTAAATGAGAAAGGAGTTTCATCAAGTTTTGTTTCCATGTTGGTAGATGCAGACTACTTGGTTTGGGTCCGTGCAACTATCGTAACCAATGGTTGGAGACTCTATGTGACATGGCTCAGAATCGACCACAATGGCGCAGGTGTATACACTCTTTATCTTCCCTTAAACTTTAAGATTAAAATTGCTCCATAACTTTCTCCCTTCCTATATTCTATCCTTATATACAACCTATTTTTTATATATTACCACCACTAAATTAACTACTTCTATGAATTCGGTGTTAATCTTGTTGTGCTAACGAGGTATGGCAACTTGAATCGATGCATAAATGTGCCTGGTCCTACGTTGTAGCTGACTGACTGACTATTGCTACGACAAGTTTTTATACAATATTACTTCTTATTATCGGATTTAACATGTAGTATAGATGTTGAAATGATGATAATATCGTAAAACAGATACTTCGAAAAAGGGAAGGTATACAATCAGAGACTGATAATATGTAGGATAAAATCGATAATTGGAGTGAAAAAAATTGAATGTGTTTAAATTGCTTCATTGTGATCAGTTTTATTATGATTTTTTAAAAAAATTTCCAAAAACTACTTTTTTCATTCAACACTATTATTTGCGTTTTACAGAGATGTTAGGCGAGCGATGGCATCAGTTATCACGAATCTTCAAACTTTAGTTTGTAATCATGGCGGAGCTAGTCGATCATTGCATCAAACTATGTTAAATCTTCTAGAAGATAACGAAGTAGAGACACGTAGAATTAGTGCTGGTCAACTGAAAGGTATGTTTTTTTGCGTATCTCTTTATTCTTCAACTTATATATCAGTTTTATTTTGTGTAGCCGTTCATCATCATTGACACCGTTATCTTGACTGATTTAACTTCTCATCTTGTTCATCTTTTGATATGAATTGTGTGAACTTGAACGGATGTGTACTTGTGCCTAGACCTTACGTTGTTATTAAGTGGCTTCCAACTGTTCTCAAAGTATCTTTGTAATGCAAACGATACTTGTATCAAAACATGGATGTTGAAGTACTTTTTGATGGAGTTTTGTTCTCTGAGCTGGATGGTTTGGTCGTACAGCTTTCATCGTCCTTCTGAACGACTTCATTAGCACAAACTTCGGGTAGAAGTGAAATCACCCACCTGAGCTACAAATCTTCTCCACCATCTGAATGTTCAAGTACTGTATAACCAATGGGAACGGATAAATTCTGCCTTGGCGAAAAAATAATGTATGCATAGAAACTAATATTACCTTACTAACATTAGTTCTCAGGATTTCAGTCAATGTTTTGCTCCAAATATGACCAGTAGTTTTCAATTAGTTCATCCATACTTTCCTACTGTTAATCTGATTCCATTTTAAGTAGTTAATTTCTGTTAGTTAATTTGATGTATAGAACAAATAAGGCAAATTGCTCATAAAGTAATAAACAATGTCATGCTTGTTAATCGTATTCATCTGTTTAATGACTCTATATCGCATTGCACTACATATAATGCCAAGTGCCTTGAGTTAAGCGATATAACACTGCTTGACGACGGTTCCAATCCCTTAAAGAGCAACAGTTCTCTTCAGATTCTGTAGATACACATTGACTTTGATAATGAATCCCAAGTACAGCGGATTATAGAAAAAGTCAAGGCTTATTATTGATTGTTTTCAACTAATTAACACCAATGATTTAACTAACAATCGGTTCAGTAACTTGACATCATTATGTTTTTTATTGGTTTTGCTGACTTCACACATTGCCTCAACAAAATTAATGTGATATCTTAATTTTCTCGCATTAGGCTTTAAATACTAATGTGTAACTGATACTTGACAGCATACATGTCTTCCATTAGATGTTGTTCCTGAAATCGCTAGACTCGATTTAACATTTCTAGTGATAATCTCTTAACGATTTATAAACATTTTTGCACGCCGTCAACAAGTTGCAATCCAACCTATTTTATGACTGTACAACACTAAAAGAATACTCATCTATTTAATAAGTGTACGAACCAGAATGTAGGGAATTTATGACTAAAATGGGCTGTCACATTTTGTGCTTTTCAATCTCTCACTCAGTCTGTCCGTATGATTGCTGATAAACTAGACGTGGGAAATCATTCTGTGCATACTAATCCAGTACAACATTTTGGGTTGAAGAAAATACGTGAAACAATGATTCCACTCAAGAAACTAACGCCTGGGGACTTTCAAAGGTAGTGCAAACAATTGATACAGAGATGAAAAAAGTATATTGTCACAAACGGGCGGTATTTAGATGAGTTTAATAATGATATATCTCTATTTTTTTAAAATAAAGCAGTTATGCCTTCAATCCACAAATTATTGGATAGACTATCTATCCTTTTAAATTCATTCAGTATTGTTTATTTGAATCTTCCCATCGATTTGTTAGAACTGCAACTGGTCAGTCTCTAATTGGCATATGTGCATACTGTGCGTATTGCCTCGATATAGCCTTAATTCACAAGCATGGTAAGTAGAGATGGATAGTGGCTAGCAGTGGAATCCAGTTTGACGCGCGTTTCGTCCTATTTGGGACTCGTCAGCTGGATGTACCTGCATCTCAGAGTTGATGTTCACTCTGGGACTCGATCTATCCTTTTAATTGAACTTATCCAAAATATTATAATGGTTCTAATGATTGTATCCTTACCATTTTCTTATAGATTTTTGTCTTGCAAGCCCCAAAGATATTCTTGTTACCGTTTTGCTACCGCGCTTACGTGAACATTTATCCATGGAACGTGAAGAACGAGTTCGTTCTGAACTAGTTCGATGTGCTGTTGGTTTATTACCATCTATTCGTCGAGAAGATTGTCTGCCTTTAGTACAGCATATTTTAGGGTTTTTAAATGATACAAGTTCACAGGTTAGTGAGAGATTGTCGTTTGTAATTTTTTATATCTAAGCATATTTTAATAGATTTTCACTGTAAGGATGTATGCAAATCCAATCACTAAGAACAAAAAAAGCATTTTTCATATCAAACGGACTAATGACTTCCATATGAATTAAAAAGTTTTTTGAACTTTACTAGGTTATATGATCTGAGAAGCATTCAATCCTACATCCTCCGCGTTAGCTTATAAAGACGTTAACTAAGATGATATGTCAATCAATTGAACTTATGATTAGTTAATATGTTCATTTTGTTCTTCAAATAGCCTTATTTGATCAATTTAACATATGGAGTTACGTTGACAGAAATGATTAAAAAGTTAAAACAGCATCCAGGAATATATCGGATGCTTCTAATTGAAACTAGTCTATCATCAAATCGTATATTTATTTATTTATTTAAACACATGAATATTGGTACAAGGAAGCACCAGATACATATGCGCCTCACAAATCTCATTTGATTTGTGTGAGGGCTGTGATACTGCCCAGGTGCCCAAACTGAAGCAGGTGGTTTTCCTAGATGGCCACACCCGTAGCCTTTGACCTGAAGGTCTATTCCACAAAGCAGTGGAGCATCGTGAGGAGATGCAGTCTCATGGTAACCGGTGACCAATAGTTGGTTCATACACCATTTGTTCCCTCAAGATACTGGAGCCAGCCCATGTGCACCATTGGTTTGTAATGAGGGTTTTCCAACTCCCCTAGGTGGACTCGCCTTGTCCACCAACCCGATTAAGGCTCCGGACATTCGCTTTTCGTCCTCTCAATTTCGTAAACAACAGTAATGCCACGAGGATGCAGTAAGTAGGACTTCCCTGTCAGAGGCTGTCTACGCGTCACCGTGTGAGAGCATTTGGAGAGGGAGAGCGAACTCTCCCCACTCTTGGCCGTACCAGGGCATTTGGGGGCATCAAATCGTATAAGATTCGTGGCGATGCTTCTTTACTAGTCCATGATATATGTTCTGTATGTTTTTGTGGGGTTGAGTATATTTCTTTAATATCTGACATTTAGTGTTGTGATAGAAGGTTACTACGTCACTGTCGTACAGACAGTAATATTCCTTTATTAATCTAAAATTGATACTTCAATTTTATTCAACCCATAGTTTAAACACGGCTTGTGTACAAACTTCGAGAAGCTAGTTATATCTTAGTATGGAACTCCTCAACCGTGCGCTTTAATGACCCTTTCAATAATCAAACCTGGAAACTTTAATTCTCTTGGCTAGCGCTTTCCTTTTTCATCACTAATTTGCTATCCATTGTTATCCATAATACCTGTCTTACACCATATGACTGAATTTTAGACAACAGGTTACTATAAAAACTTCGTTATCATTAGTCATATGTTTAGGCATCCTAAACTGAGACATTAATGCAATTGTCCAATGTTCCTTGGGTTAAATTTCATGTTTGATGTGAACTACAAAATTTACTTTCTCTGCCTTTGAAATATTTCATTCATTTAACGGTTGTATCATTTTTAATCTATTTATTTTTCAGTCCAAACAATATGTGTTCGAGCATTTTTCTGAATTAGTAGCTTTAATGCCTGCTAACGAGATTCAGTTGACTTTATTACCAAGTCTTCTTCGTCTTTGGCAAGATAAAAATTGGCGTGTTCGTCTTGGTGTTGTTCAGTCAGTACCTTGTTTATATGATAAGTTGGTAAGATTTGTTTTTTTTTGTATCAGATATTCCTTGCTGTTTGAATCAATTCGTTGTTTCAAAAGAGTTTCCATGATATTTTTAAGAATTTTGAACACACTTGAGTAAAGTTGAATCTGACTCTGTGAAACACCCATTTTCGATAGATGATAGTGTTAGAAAAGAATTGAGTTGTTGTGGACAGTATTGAAATTGTCGTTCGAATTATCCTTGCTATCTCTGCTAATGTACCAAAATTTCAAAAAACACATCAAAATTTTCGACAAATCACATCCTCATTATATCATCGTCAACCAAGTCAGTCACAACGTAGAACTTCATATGTACGTTCATCAATTCGGGTTGCCATACCACATTAGCACAGAGATGCAGTTATCGATTCAAATTCCATAGTGGTAGAAGTAGTAAGAGTATAAGCATTAATGTGAAAGATTAGGGTTTGAAGATGTTATTGAAAGAGTATAATCCAGTGAAATAAATTCGGAAAGAGAAAAAAGATAGAGACATGAAGAATTCAGAAGATTAGAATTTGGCAGAACACGAAGAGTGGATGCACCTTCGCCATTGCAAACGATTTTGAACCATGCCATTCAAGGTCTTTAACCATCGATTGCTATCATTTCGCGAATCCCAACCAGGTAGTCTACACCTACCAACATGGCTCAGTCCACTTGCCGATGCGACTGAATCCTGAAGTAACATTTTGTATTTCGAAGGGGAGAATCGCATCCTGAACATGCCTGCATTGTTGCTTATAGTGGTCAAAAGACTGCATTTTGTCAGCGTCGTCACCAAAAAATCTGTCATCGTCAAACAAAGCCACAAAAGTAAACTTAATTTCTTTTGTATTGTACATTGTTGTATACTAAATTAGAGATTTGTTAATGGGGGGGATGAGTAGTTCCATTTTGTAGGTTTCGTATGATTGAGTCCGATTTCTAAATGTATCCTAATTGTGTCAACCTAATCTCTATTACATTACTACTGAAGTGTGTGGTTTTCACTTACTACTCTCTTGTAGTTTCATTGAGTATAATCTAAATTTATCTTAGAATTTTCAAATATTCCTCATTTCATTCTTATGCACATCGTGAAAAATGAATAATTTTTCACACATGAGTTGTATTAGAACTTAACTGAACTGTCTACTTAATCAGAGCTATAAATTGTTTACCGAGTACTACAAATTATTTATATTAGGCTTTGATGGACATATCTTTTCAAACCGTATTTATAATCAGATTCAGGTTTACAACTACAGAGTTGTTAGTTAAATGTTGTATACCCTATGCCAACTCTACTCAACTGTAATAAAAGTTATCAATGAACAGCTATTTAATCCTAGTTCAGAGAATCCTTGAGAGTGTGTACATATACGACCTTACATGAAATGTCCACTCATTCGATCGTCCGAACGATACAACAGAGTCAGTAACAGTTGAAACCATTTCTTAAGTAATTCTCTAGAGAAAATTGATAGTTTTGTTGATTTTTAAATGAATGACATTGCTATAGTGTATTCATTTAAGGTGACAATAGCTTATGAATGATCTGGATCACTTTGGATACACAATGATAATCTGTACTGTGCAGGGTATAATTAAGTTTAGTAAACTAAATATAATTTTTTGTTGATTATTTGCTTACTGATGATGTTGAATATGATGATATATCAGTATTGTTTATGATATTAGACACCATATATTGATAGTCATAGGAAACGTTTGCGGAAAGTACGGATTAAGTTATACACTTACAGCGGAAAAGTATTAGTTCCTCTCCTCCTAGATGAGGCGATGGCTTGTATGATTTGGTTATTTGATTTCCATTCACTGGATTTTTTTCCGATGTTTGCTCAATTTAGTTTGCATATCTTGATCGTATCACAAATCGTCACACCTGATTTATAGCTTGAAGTCAAACACATTGATTTGTATTTGGTGGATTATTCATCCTACCTGATTTTTATTAAAGCAATACGCCAATTACTGAGCAATCCTTTCTAGTTGCTATTCATTCTTGTGATGTCTGTTTGTAATCCCGACGCAGTGTGTTCCTTGGTCTTCCTATTTTCATTTTCCTATCAGGATTCCATGTTAGCGCTTGCCTCATGATGCAATAATGTTAGAGAAATTCAGTGATTAGATAAATTAAACTGTGTACTATTTTCAGTTAGTTGAATTTCTTTCGACTATCTTTTTATCCATGTTTATTATTTATATTTTAGCCGGAAAACTGTTTACAGGAAACTGTTTTACCCGCAAATCTTGCATGGTTACGAGATCCAGCTTGGTGTGTTCGTGAATGTGCTTGTCGTAGTCTTGCTCGTTTGTTGGTAGCATGTCCAGGAGCTTGCAAAAAAGCATTCAGTGGAGTAGGATCTAAAACGAGTACAAGTTCTGGTTCAGGTAGTGTAACTTCTAATCCAAACAGTGCTTCATCTAATGTAACTAATCCAACTAGTGGAACAAATGCATCAAATACTTCCACTGGTAATCTTCCTAGTTCAACAAATGCTCAAGTGTTAGATCAAGCAAATACTTCCGGTCTTTCTACCCTATCTTCAACTACATCAAATACTTCTGCTGTTAATCCAGCGAATGCTTTAACTACACAAGCTGCTGCAGGCGGTTTAAAAGCTCTTGCGGTAGACACAAATTATCATCTTCGTCAAATATACATTAACGTAGTACAAGTAAGATTTACTGAAATGTTCCCAAATATCCATATATAATTTTAACATGAACAAGGTGTTTTTACAGTGTCATCGTCATGTACTGCGCGTGTTTAAATCTGTAGTCTAATTTTCAATTATACACAGTGGATATGATTCATTTACATATATATTTACTCGCCTTGTCCACCAACCCGGTTAAAGCGCCAGACATTCGCTTTTCGTCCTCTCAATCTAGTAAACAACGGTAATGCCACGAGAATGCAGTGAGTAGGACTTCCCTGTCAGAGGCTATATATTCGCTGGCCATGTGAGAGCATTTGGAGAGGGAGAGCGAACTCTCCCCACTCTCAGTCGTTCCAGGGCATGTGGGGGCTTCGGCGTTACATATACTAAAGTTGGAACGATACGGAGAATATTTATGATGGTGGGGAAAATTTGTAACTCAGGTGGATGGTTTTAATGGAGTTTTGTTCTCTTACCAAACCATCCAGCTCAGAGAACGAAACTCTATCATAGGACATGATAATTTTAGGTTTAATAGAGCACTAAAAGTATACTTCATATAAAGTTGAACCGATTAAATTGTGAAGAAATAAATGCGATGAAGATTATTTTATTATTATTTATTTAAACACATAAATATTGGTGCAAAGTAGCACCAGATATATATGGCCAAACTAAAGCAGGTGGTTTTCTTAGGGAGCCACACCTAGAGCCTTTGACCTAAAGATCTGATCCACAAGGCAATGGAGCATCGTCAGGCGATGCAGTCCCATGGTAGCCGGTGACCAAAGACTGGTTCATACGCCATTTGTTCCCTTAGGATCCTGGAACCCATGTGCACCATTGGTTTGCAACGAACGTTTTCCAACTCCCCTAGGTGAACTTTCTATGTCCGCCAACTCGGTTAAAGCTCCTGCCTGACATTCGCTTTTTGTCTTTTCAATTTCGTTAACAACTCCGCCATGAGAATGCAGTGAGTAGGACTTCCATGGCAGAGGCTATATAATCTATGAATAACTGAGAAAAGAAAAGCAACCTAAGATTAATTGAAAAATTACAGTTTAATCCAGGAACTAAACAAAATAGAATTTCTAACATCTACTATATTTCATCCACTTTTACGAAAAACAATTTTGCCCACCATAAAACGTGTATATTATGTAACAGTTCAATTTGAACTGTTTTTACGATTGCAAAATATACTGGGGTTAGGATTTAATCATCAAATAACCCCAGTCTTCATGTTAATTATAGAGTCTTGATTAGAAATGGTAAGTTTTTATATGATTGTGTAAACTTCCAGAAATTTTAGCATACTAATCATCCATTTAAACACTTTATAATGACTAGTACCGGAGTAGGTATAAAAAAACACCCAAGAAATGACCAAATAAATATGTCTTATCTGTTTAGTTCGTTATCTGTTGCCCTTATTGGTGGGTCGTGTAGAATTCTTTGTTGTTCAGTCAGTCAGCTATAACGTAGGACCAGGCACATATATGCATCGATCCAAGTTGCCGCACTTCATTAGCACAACAAGATGAACACCATATTCATAGAAGTAGTTGCTTCAATGGTAGTAATATATAAAAGAAAGATTGTATTTAAGGATATAGTACATAAGGAAAGAATTAGTAGGTAGAAAGAAAGGTATAAAGTAATTATAATTTCACGCCTTAAGGGAAGACAACGAGTGAATACACCTACACCGCTGCGACCGATTCTGAGGCATGCGACTCAGTGTCTCCAACCATTGGTTACAGTAGTCTCGATTGAATTAATCTGCATCTACCGACATGTCTCCGACTAGAAGTTAGTGATTTTATGGACTGATGCCACGTTTTGATTTGGCTACCTCTAACTCTCTTCCAACCATCGCCAATAGTAGTCAGCATTGCGCGTCTTGGTAATGAGTGTTCAGACACATGTAACACGTGGCCCAACCATCTTTGTTGTTCACTATTTATTTGAAGACATAAAGATTATTATAAAGGGGCACCGAATACATACGCACCGCACAAGTCACTTGATTTGTGTGTGGACGTTGATACTTTCCGGGTGCTCAGACCGAAGCAGGTTTTTTTTTAGGTTGTCACACTCCGAGCCTTCGACCTAAAGGTCTAATCCACAAGGCAGTGGAGCAACGTAAGGAAATGCATTCTCATGGTAGCTAGTGACCATTTATTTATTTAAAGACATAAATATTGATACAAGTGGGTGTCAGATACATATGCGACACAGTGAAAAATGGTATTCGGTAAAAGCATTCACTTTCGAGAATAGCATTGTCAGTAGAAAGCGTTATTCCATTTATTTGTGCCAGTGACCAACGAGAGGTCCATACGTCATTTGTTTCATTAGGATCCTGAAGCCCATATACACCATTGGTTTAGAATGAGGGCTTTCCAAGTACCCTAAATTGATCCTCCGTGTCCACCAATTTCATGAGAATGCAGTGAGTGGGACTTCCCTTGGAGTGGCTGTATACAGGTGGTTATGTGCGAGTGTTTGAAGAGGGAGAGTCGACTCTCCCCACATTCAGCCATACCAGAGCATTTGGGGGCCTGAAATCGGAAATACAAAACAAAGATTGTCCACTGACAAGAAATTAGGTCCTGATTTCATTGTTTTTTTGAGTTACCTTAAAAGATTAATATATCTTCATTCCTTTACTTGTTAATTTACGTAAAATCATGTTTAATATAATGTCTCATATTTTGTTACATAAATAGGTAGTTTTGCTAGAGGGAAAATCCATTCGATTGATAATTGCCGTCTGAGTACAGTTAATGTAAGAGCTTATATCGATCATTTGATGTTCCAAATATTTATTAGTCGACAACTTTATATTCTATGTCATCTATCAATCTATTTTTTTCCCAACATTTTAATATACCTGGTACGTACTTCACCATTAGAATTATCCTCCTTCGTGATAATCATGTATACAACAAACCTGATTACCAGCAGTTCCTAACCGTGTTAAATTTGATCTATGTTCATAACTGTCATTTTTTTAATGGTATCATTTCCTAAATTCTAAGCTTCTATTCATCATTAAACTTCTTAAGCACTTGATTAGTTCACTTGTATCAAGTGTACAGTTGCTCACTTCTTGCTGAATGATTGATTTTCTCATTTGAATTACAAACGGAATTATCTTTTTTCTGGATACATTTATAGGCTGTTTGGGGTCCTGGTATCTTGGATGAACCTCCTTACAGTGCCCTAGGTGATGATCCTAGCGCAGGAATTCTCTTTCCTGCTTCCCGTAACATCTATACTTATTTGTCATCAAAAACATCGAAGAACCCCACAAATTCAGATAGTTCAAATGTTGCAACAGTTCCCAAAGGTTGCCAAGCACCACCACAAATACCTAATGTTTATTTGACCGGGTGTGTAGCTCAGTTATTACGTTTCCTGTCGGAGGACGTAGTGCCAAATGTACGGATTTGTGCAACACAAGCCCTCCACGTAATCTCCGGTTCTCTGGATAAAAAGTGAGTTTTTTAAGTGTCATACTGTCTCATATCTATTGATGTTATTATTCCCAAAGCATTAGATTTGTTTTTACTTAAAGTTACCATTTTTATATCCCTAGTAAATCGTGATATTGATCTTAAGATCTCCTTTGTAATTGAACTCACCTCTCATTTGATTACTGTCTTCCAGATTTATTTGAATACTAAATGCATAATAATTTTTCTTTATTCAAGTATCATTTTTTGACACATGAAAGCTCTGTCTCCCTTTCACCATTGAATTGAATTCGTACTTCTGGGTAATTGTACTCACTCATCTTCTGTAAATATGATTTATAGCCGCCCAGTTCAAACTGCACAACAAAAATGTCATTTTTGTTTGTTCATTCTGTGTTCAAAATGTTTATTCTTAGAGTGTATATTTCGCTGTGTTATTTCAGTAAATTTCATGTCCTTAATATCTGAATGTAAAGCGTTCATCTTTTTTGTATTATTTCAAAAAGTATCAACTGTAAGATTATTTATTTTATTCATACACATAAATATTGGTACAAACGGGTACCAGATACATATGCGCCCCACAAATCAAATGAGATTTGTGTGAAGGCTGTGATACTGCTCAGGTGCCCAAACTGAAGCAGGTGGTTTTCTTAGGGGGCCACACCCGGAGCCTTTGACCTGAAGGTCTATTCCACAAGGTAATGGAGCATCGTCAGGCGATGCATTCCCATGGTAGCCGGTGATCAACAATTGGTTCATATGCCATTTGTTCCTTCAGGATACTGGAGCCCATGTGCATTATTTGTTTGTAATGAGGGTTTTCCAACTCCCCTAGGTGAACTTTCCATGTCCAACAACCCGGTTAAAGCTCCTGCTGGACATTCGCTTTTCTTCCTCTCAATTTCGTAAACAACTTCTGCGCCACGAGAATGCAGTTAGTAGGACTTCCCTGACAGAAGCTATATACGCGTAGCTGTGTGAGAGTATTAGGAGAGGGAGGGTGGCCCCCCCCCACTGTCGGCCGTATCAGGGCATTTGGGGGCAACTGTTGGTGTATTATGATCGGTCATTTATCTAATGGTTAATCACGTAAAACTTTTATCTAGTTATTATTCATTAATTAATGTGCTCATTACGTATGTATTTTCTTTCTTTCCTTTCTTTCTTCCTCACTATTCTTTGTCATGTAGAACTATTCAAAATGATGTGATACCGGTTTTAAAAAAAGTTATAGATTATGATTTTGATCAGGATGTTCGTTTTTTTGCACAACAAAGTTTAAACTGTAAGTACTTAGTCTGTATTCTTTTCTGTGTATTGTTGAGTATTTTCTGTTCCATATTTACTTACTTATTCCACAACCCTGTACTGTTAGTGATCATGTGCTCACTCGTGACTGGTTTAAAGATAGATTTCCCGGGGTTCTAGTGTGAAACAGTGACTAGTGGAGTTCAACCATGTCTACTGTGAGACAGTTAGTGACTGAAGCTATACATTAACACCGATGGGTGCCGGCTCAGTGATCTAGAGGTTAAGCATTCGTGCGCGAGGCCGAGGGTCTTGAGTTTGAGTCCTGCGTGCTGGACCGTGGGTGCTCACTGTTGAGAAATCCCATACTAGAACAAAACGACCGTTCTGTGCTTCCAGGTTTTCAATGATGGCCTAACATTGATCCATCCGTAATATCAAACTAAACAATTTATATAACCCTATACTGACATTCCATAAATGTAATAATTTTGTTTTCTTGATAATATAATAATGAATAATTTTTTTGAGATTTATTTCATTTTGGATTATTGACAAACTACGATGGCTATAACATTCTAAAACGTTTTGGGTACAATCCATTTAAACAGATAATTCTACTTGATGTTATCTCATTTAATGGAAGTAAAGGTGACTTACTATGCAGCAGTTGAAATGAATAGATTAAGTCGTGTTGATGTATGTCAACTAACATAATTGTATTAAGGATTTCTCTCAAATATCTTGAATCAAAATTAGAATGTATCGTCATGTTATAAGATACATTGTCAGTAGAAATCATCATTTCATTTATTTGTGTGAGGGCTGTGATACTGCCCGGGTGCCCAAACCGAAGCAGGTAGTTTTCTTAGGGGGCCACATCCCGAGCCGTTGACCTAAAGGTCTAACCCACAAGGCAGAAACGATTTGAGCAGTTCCAGGTTCGTATCATAGAGACTTTAACGCAGAAATTGAACCTAAGTCAAACTGGTGCTACAGATGATGCTTCCAAATCTAATGTCGACCATATTATTAATTCTATCCATGAGTTCAATTTCGATGGTTCGGCTGGTATTACCTTCGAAACCTGGTTCAAGAAATACGAAGATTTATTCAAGGTCGACCTCAGAAAACTTGATGACGCCGCCAAGGTCAGAATACTCTTAAGAAAACTTGGCACAGTTGAACATGAACGCTACAGTAATTTCATTCTACCAAAGAACCCAAGAGATTTTACTTTTGATGAAACCATTGAGATTTTGTCACGAATCTTTGCTGAACAGTCGTCCTTATTCAATATTCGTTATCAATGTCTGAAGATAACAAAAGCAGCTGATGACTGGGTGAAGCATGCAGGTTTAGTAAATCGTGAGTGTAAATGCTTCAAATTATCAACTATGACAGAAGATCAGTTTAAATGTCTCGTATTCGTGTGTAGCCTTCAATCTTCCGAAGATGCTGATATCAGAACCAGAATTTTAAGTAAAATTGAACAGTGTCCAAACATAATACTATAAGAAGTTACTACCGAGTGCCAAAGGTTAGTGAACTTGAAGCATGATACCTCAATGGTAGAAAACGGTAACTGTTTCCATAATGTCAATGCAGTCAAGTGAAAATCCTTACAAGGTTCCAGCACATGTAACGGCGACAAACCATCATCTCCATGCTGGGCATGTGGAGGCTGGCACTATAAGAGTTTTTGCCCGTATAAATAACATTGTTGTAGTAAGTGTCATCGAAAAGGCCATATAGAAACCAGATGCAGGAAAAGAAACTATAAACGACATTTTGCAAAACCTTACTTCAAGAAATACAGGTCTGCGGCATTAACGAAAAGAATATTTTTATCGCATAACAAAGCTCGAAGGTGCCACCAAAGAAAGTACGTGACCTTGAATATTAATAAACACCGTAGTTGACTTCAGCTTGATACAGCTTCTGACATTACTTTAATAAGCCCAGAAACTTGGAGGAAGATTGGGCGACCCACAATGCATCGAACAACAGAACTAGCACACAGTGCATTCGGCAGAAAGTTAAATATTGTTGGAGAAATACCTTGCATTGTGTCTAAAGGGGTGGTTACGACAAATGCAACCATATACCTTACGAAGAACCCAGGACTCGACTTATTGGGTCTAGATCTGATAGAAACACTCAAGCTAGCAGAACTTTCAATTAATAGCATCTGCAGACGAGTTACTTCTGATAACTTCTTAGAGAGTAGCCAGAAAAATACCGTGTTGCAAAGACATCACAACGTGTTTAAAGAAGGATTAGGAGAATGCACGAAGGCTAAAGCAGTACTAACTTTAAAACCTGCAGTTACTCTCATTTTTCGATCTAAAAGACCTGTACCCTATGCTGCCCTCCCAGTGGTTGAACAAAAGATAGAACGACTTCATAAATTGGGTGTCATTGAGCCAGTGAATTTCTCAGAATGGGCTGCACCTATAGTGGTAGTAAAGAAGACTAATGGTAGCGTCCGTTTATGTGCCGATTATTCAACCGGGCTAAACGAAGCCCTAGAAACTCATGAGTATCCCTTACCCTACCTGTCGATCTTTCTGCAGAGATAAATGGAGATAAGCTCGTTATAAAGTTGGATTAATCGGAAACATATTTACAAATCCCCGTTGCTGATGAGTGTAAAAATCTGTTCACCATAAACACACACAAAGGCCTATTCCGATACAATCGACTACCTTTCGGAATTAAGACGGCCTCATCCATAAGTCCATAAGTAATGGACACTATGCTACAGGATGTTCCAGGTGTTGCAGCCTACCTGGATGACATAATAATTATGGGAGTAGATAGAATTGACTTGGGAAAGAAGCTCGACCAGGTGCTGTCACGAATAAACGAATATGGACTTCGGCTCCGTGCAGAGTAATGTAACTTTTGTACGCAAAAGGTACGCTACCCCAGGTTTATAATCGACAAAGATGGCAGAAGACCAGATCCAGAGAATACTCAGGGAGTAAAAACTATGCCTAGACCAACGGACGTCCCTACACTACGATCCTTTCTGGGACTAGTTAGTCATTATGGAGCTTTTATTCCTAACCTTCATCATCTGCGTGCCCCCTTAAATAACCTTCTTGCAAAGAATGTGAAGTGGGATTGGCCTGCGAATTGTCAAGCCGCTTTCGAGAATATCAAGAAAATACTAGTCTCGGATCTGCTGCTCACCCATTATGACCCATCCTTACCCATTGTAGTAGCATCAGATGCTTCAAACCATGGCATTGGAGCAGTTATTTCTCATATCATGCCAGACGGATCTGAAAAAGCCATATCGCATGCAGCTAGATCATTAACTACAGCAGAACGTAGCTACAGTCAGATCGAAAAGGAAGCATTATCAATTATCTTTGCAGTAAAAAAGTTCCACAAGATGTTACTTGGACGCCAGTTCACCCTACGAACTGACCATAAACCATTATTAGCCATTTTTGGGTCGAAGAAAGGTATCCCGGTATATACAGCAAACAAACTGCAACGGTGGGGAACTACACTCTTAGGCTATGACTTTAAGATCAAGTACCAGCCCACTACTGATTTCGGACAAGCAGACGCTTTGTCTAGACTGATTGGTTCGCGAGTAAAACATGAAGATACATTGGTGGCAGCAATTGAGACGGAAGCAGAAGTACATCGAGTATTGGAAGACGCAGTCGATGGCTTACCAGTCACTTTCAAAGCTATCAAAGAAGCCACGGTAAACGACAAGACATTAAGAGAAGTTAGTGGTTATCTCCTAACCAGGTGGCCGAACCGTCGTTTCCAAAGAGAGATGCTACAATATTTCCGCAGGCGAGACTCACCCATTAATGTCGACTCATGTATTATGTTTGGTGACAGAATTGTTGTTCCAAAAACATTACACCACAGGGTTCTAAAACAGTTCCACAGCGGCCATCTTGGGATCAATAAGATGAAAGCGTTGGCTTGAAGCTATGCTTACTGGCCTACAATGGATCAAGATATCGAAATCAGATGCCGTAATTGCTCGTCGTGCCTGCAAGCAGCTCAAAATCCAAAGAAGTGTGAACCACAACAATGGGAAAAACCTAATAGTCCATGGGAGAGGCTGCACGCCGATTTCGCTGGCCTAATAAGAGGAAGAATGTTTCTCGTCATAGTGGATGCACTCACAAAATGGCCACAAATCTATGCCATGGCAACTTGTACAGCCAGTGAATCGATCAGCAAGTTATCCGAACTGTTTAGTTGCTTTGGAGTTCCTGAGAGTTTAAATGACCGATAATGCATCACAATTCACTGCAGAATCATTCAAGCACTTCTGCAACATTAATGGAATTGTACATATGCGCTCTCCACCCTATCACCCTCAATCAAATGGTCAGGCTGAGCGTTTCGTCGATACATTCAAAAGAGCACTCCTGAAAGGGGATGGCGATGGGACAAGCCAGGTAATTACGAAATGTCTAACAGCGTATAGAACTACGCCTAACCATACCGTCCTAGATGGAAAATCCTCTGCTGAGGCGATGTTCGGGAGAAAAATTCGAACTGTGTTTGACGCCATGTTGCCACCTAAACCAATGGTTGGACGCAGACAAAATCAGAATATCCGGAGTTTTAACGTCAGTGATAAAGTGCTCGTCAAGTCATACAGCGGAAAAAAAGCATTGGGAATCTGGAGTCATTGAAAAGGGAATGGGAAATGTTCTATACAAGGTGCGTGGGACTTTCGGAACGTGGATCAGACACATTAATCAAATACACAAAGAAAAAAGAATTCTAGACACCGCAGATAGTCAAATGAGGCTTCCGCTAGAAATAGTTACAGATACTCCAGTGGCAAGAACCCCAACAGACACCCATAGACATGAGATACCAAGGAAGCTCGAACGCCGCAGAAAACATGTTTCCAAGTTGCAAGTAGACCCAAAGAAAAAATCTTATTCGGGGGAGGTGTTAAGTCGGTTTCCAGAGAACTCCAACAGAGCCTCCAAAGGCTCAAAAAGAGACCCAACCAATCAGAGTACGATAGAACATTCTGTAATTCCAACGTGGCATGCTACCATTGGTCAGTAGCAATATACGTCGTTAAGTGGATTGGCTGAATTAGGATGTTGATTTCACTTAAGCAAACATCTATAAATACCTACGATTTTCTGTACGGAATGAACCTTGCAGTAAAGCGTTTTCTCTGTCACTCGTGTCTTCTCTCTGGTCTTCAAGTCGCTGAGTAGTGCTAGCCCTGGGGTTATCCAAATTGCTTAGAATCTGAATACAGCGTTCAACCTAAAAGACGTATCAGTGAGGAGATGCAGTCCCATGGTAGCCGGTGACCAACAATTGGTTCATACGCCATTTGTTCCCTCAGGATCCTGGAGTTAGCCTATGTGCACCATTGGTTTGTAATGAGGGTTTTCCAACCCCCTAGGTGGACTTTCCGTATCCACCATTGTGTGGCGCATATGTATCTGGTGCCCCTTTGTACCAATATGTATGTGTTTGAATAAATAAATAAGATACCATAAATTTAAGAAGTACATGTTTATATGTACACAACTTTGAGTCGTTCTATATATATAAACTCTATAGTACCCGGCTATCAAAACGGAAGTATACTAATCAAGATTTAAATCTATCACTTAATATTTGAAAGTTTAATGCATTAATCCAATTAGATTATAAAAATACTTTGTTATTATTTAAACTAAGTCTTATTATAATTATTATCCATAGAATTCAATCTATGTCAACTATTTAACAATTCGATATTGGGTACTATTCATTTACTAATTAACGTAAACATCTAATTAATCATTTAAATTAATATCAGTGCAGGGTAGTCCTACTTACTGCCTTCTCATGTCCAGGGTGTTGAGGAGACGAAAAGCGAACGCCCGGCATGCTGGTGGATATGTAGGATCCACTTAGAGGAGTTGGAAAACCATGATTCCAAACTAATGATCAACACAGATTCTAGGGTCCTGAGGGGACAAATGGCTTACGAGCCTATTGTTGGTCAGTGGCTACTATGAGACTGTATCTCCTTACGTTGCCTCACTGCCTTGTGGATAAGACCTTCAGATCAAAGGTTCGGGGTGTTGACCCCATTAAGAAAACTTCCTGCTTCGGTTTGGGCACCCGGATGTTATCACAGCCCTCACACAAATCAATGATAACGGCCTCTGGCCTCATTGTTATTATGGGGCGCATATGTAATTAGTGCCCCCTTTTATCAATGTTTATATGTTCAAATAAAATTAATTATTATAATGAACAACATTAAGGATAACGATAAATAATTTTATCCAATACACCAATCAAAAATTTAATGTACTCAACTGTGAGTCATAATGTTTTATATGATATTACCAGCTAGCTGCTCCTAACCAAAGTAGGGTGAAATAACCTATCAATTGGTAAGCAAATGTGTAAATAAACAATCCATCGCTAGACTTTTGTATCCATACTTAATCAGTCATAATCGATGTGCAACATGTCGAAAACGTTCGTTTCTCCGAGTAACCATATCACATCAGCACAACATGAAGGAATTACTAAGATGAATAGCGAGCAAGTCGAACCAATATTAGTATCAGTGATTGTGAGAAGCATTACATATTTAGAATATAGTTCACGAAGACAGAATAAAAAGGTATGCGTTAAAAAACTACTAGAACACATGATCTAGGGGGAAATAAAGTATAAATATATATGGTCTATTATGACCGATTTTGAACCGTATCGTCCAATGTCTTCAGTCGCAGATCGCATTTATTCTAAGAACCTTAACCACGTAATCTTTATTTAATTAGTATGACTTGATCATAATAACCTTTTGTCTCTGATATGTTTTTAGATCAGCGGGGGTTTTGTGGAGAATTTAGTATTTTCACAGTTGAAATCGTGAGTCTAATGAAGATAGACCACCATCGAAAACATGGAAGTACTGGACGGCCGTTTCGTCCTATTATGAGACTCCTCAGCAGTGCGCATCCGCGATCCTGCACTCGCGAGATTCGGACCCAGGATCTACCAGTCTCGAGCTGGAGCCCTTAACTGGCTCAATAGTGACTGACTTCAAGAGATATTTCCTTGAGTTCTAGTGGGAAGCAGTGGTCAGTGAAGTTCTACCAAGTCTTTTGTAGAGATATCGACTCACTGAAGACAATTGGTGGACGTTTGCTCAAAATCGTGGATTAGTTGAAGTTAGACATTAACACTGTTGGATGCCGGCTGGTTCAGTGGTCTATCGATTAAGTGTTCTGGCGCGATACTGGTAGGTCCTGTATTCGAATCTCGCGAGTGTGGGATCGTGGACGCGCACTGCTGAGGAGTCCCATAATAGGGCGAAACGACCGTCCAGTGGTTCCAGGTTTTCGATGGTGGTCTATCTTCAATTGACTCATGATTTCAACTGTGAAAATGTTATGTTTTGTCTGTCTTTGTGTGTATGTGTTTATGTTTACTGATGAGCTTTATATTGAATAACCACTTTTAATTTTTCCCCTCCTCTTTTTACTACAGATTTTACAGCTACCTAATGTTTATGAGTATATATTCTTCTAATTCTGTGAATTTAGTAAGTTTATAGAAGAAGAAGACCAAGAATCTATTTCAGTCATCATCGTATTGGATAATAATGATATGATGATGAGCTGTGACTTATTTAAGGAAGCGAAAACGATTCTGTCTGTTTGTTTTCCTTGTTCATGGGTCATTATTGTGTTAGTTTCTTTTCTTTTCTTTTCCTTTTGTTTTCTTCTAAACAAAACAATCAATGTTCCAACATCTCTCTTTTACAGTTTTGCTTATTCCATTAATGTTGCATTCTATCTATACACTTGTTTCTCTCTCTCTCTCTTTTTGTTTACTTTTTCCGAATTGTAATAACATTTAGTTACTATCTGAGAACAAACAAACAAACATACTACTCACTTGTTTGTTTGTTTATCTAAAAAAAATTTTTTTCCAGTTCAAGCAGCAATTTGATTGTTGTTATCTGTTGTACTCCTTGTTTGTTTGTTTTGTTTGGTTTTTTTAATTATTATGTGAATCGATCTCTATCGTATATTAACAATTGCTTAATAATGCTACTTTTTTGGCAACATTTTTAATTCCTGCTCATTCGTTCTCTTTAGTTTTCTTTCCTTTTTTGTCGTTGCCTTACAAATTATTTTTAAAGGTAATAAAATTGCATGTGAAATGAATGTGTGTGTGTGTGTGTGTACACCATGATGACTACAACTACTACTGCTACTACTACGACGAATCAGCCCAAACCTTTTCTCGCTCTTTCTTCATACACTATGCATATAAACTTGATATTATTATTCTTTTAAGTTTGTTCGTTATTGTTGTTGTCACCATTGCCTGATTCTTGTTTGTTTGTTTTTTTCTATTCAATCAATGCAATAAATAAAAAGATTTGAAGCAACAACAATGACAACTACAGTCACAATAATAATGATAAGTTTAATTCTAACTAGTTAACTAACTATGTATCTTGTTTTCATCTGGCTTTATATAATTCTATTAATAATGATGATCATAATTTTAAAAAGTAAACCAGAAAATACAGTCGCACACAAATATGTTAGTTGTTTTTTTATGTGTGTGAATGTGGCCATTACATTTGTTTTTTTCGGGGGAGGGGGGTAACTGTAATTTGCAATGTTGAATAGTTGTTAGTGTAATAACTTTCTTGATGTTTACCAGTCTAATGATTGAAAATGGATTGTTTATGTGTGTGTGTGTGTTCCAATCCCTTCACTTGTCCTCAAAATTCCATCAGATCTTCTGGGATAGTAGCCAATCAGATTTTAACATGAATACAAACGCTTATTCGGCATTTATTACCTCCATGGTCTATTTGTAGTACAAATGAAGTGCTCCAGTTGTCTATCAATGGATGAATGTATCCTTAGTATTTCTATCTGTGTTTCCTTTTAGATCTATGAAAACAGAAATTGGAAGTATAATGTTCAAATTCTGTTTCACTTATTCTTATAGGATTGTTGTTGAATAGTTGAATTACGGGGTTAATAATGTTAGATACTAAACAGTCTAATTTAAAACCGTACAATACAGCTGCTGTTTTCACGAAATAGTGTAAATTGTAGAATGTACTCGCATATTTTTTTTGTTAAAAGCTCACGACTTATATTGATTTTAATTGCTATAAGTTATAAGCTTGAATGCCATAGTAGTCAAGCTATTTTCCATCTTGGTTTTATAAAAAAAGATGGTGAATACATTTTATTAGACATGATATACCATGAGAAATTAAGCGACCCCATTTATTTCTGTTTTTTTCCCCCAGAAAATTGATCACTACAAGGTGAACACCAAATTCATAAAATCAATTACTTCGATGGTAGTAAACCAACAATTCATATAAGGATATGATACAGAAATAAAGGTATAAAGTAATTATAAACTCACGCCTTGAGGAAAGATAACGAGTGAGTACACCTACACGATTGTGATCGATTCTATACCATGTCACTCTGAGTCTCCAACCATTAGTTACAATAGTCTCGCTCACCCGAACGAAGTAATCTGCATTTACCAACATGGTTCCGACTAGAAGTTAATGACTATATACTGATGACACGTTTTGGTTTGGCTGCCCCTAAATTTCTTCCAACCGTCTTGAGCACTAGTCAGCATTGAGCGTTGTGGTAACCGGTGTTCAGACATACGTAACACGGCCAAATCATCACAGTCCATGAAGATTCATGATCTCACCAACTAATTTACCACCATTCTCTAATACCCTGCGTCTAACCTAACAATTACTTACTCGATGATCCCAGCAGATGCTGGCAATGTTTCTAAGACATCTGTGATCAAGTACTAGTAACTTTCGAGTATCCTCTATCCATAACGGTCATTTTCCGCAGCCGTAAAGTAAAACAGAACGAACTACTGCTCAGTTGCTGAGGTTGCAAAATCGGACGACAGTTCGCCATAATCTCTGTCTCGACTGGTGGTATTCGAGTAAAGAGCACTCACCAGGTTTATGTACTTCTGAAGTATACAAAAAGATTAATAAGAGAAATCAATCTGGATTTAGAGTTAGATGTTAGGGTTACGAATTAGAGTCAGGGTTCTCGTCACAAACTGACGTTAGCTGTAATGCTATTTAGACGTATGAATGAGTGAATTTTGTGCTGAAATCCAAGACCCAATATCTTACATCTGATTGATTCGTTCATAAATTATAGTCTCGCCATAAACAATAGGTACTCACTCCTCCTCCATTATAAATAGTGAGATTAAGTTTACAAAATTGAGTTCATTTTGATTTTTAACTTTAGTAGTCAAGTTTAGAGCAAATAATAGACATGAAAACGAACCATACATCATAATTCTATGTGCCCAATGAGAAGTGATCCTCTCAGTATATATATATGGCAGCGCGGACGCGCCTTCCTTCTGATTTGAAACTTGTTGACTGAATATATATATACATTATAGAGTTGATGTTAGCACTGAGTTGAAGTTCTAGTATAAAAATTAACAATAGAATTTAGATGTATTATTTAGCTAACAAATTCCAAGAAATATAACACATATATCCTGGGTTTTACTTCTAGCTATAATCCATTATTTATCCCAAAAACATGTATCCACAAGCAATGTTATGACATTCACTCGGTATGTAAATATACTAATACGAATTGATTAAATATAACCCAGAATATCAACAACGAGGAATTACAGTCTTACTAATATTGGCGTTCTTGTTTAAACAACGATCTCAACATTTAAAATAATAAGGTTTGTAATGTTAAATGCACATAAATTTCATTTTCCCAAAGTAACTGTAATTATTGAAAATAAGGAATGACTAGACGGTTGTTTCCATTATCTTTCACACCCGTCAAGTGAGACGTCGTGGCCTGAAGAAATAAATAAATTAGCAGTTATGGGTTACATGATCCCTCCATAACATTGAGAGATATTTGATGATTGAATTCTGACTCATTCATTTTGAATCATCATGCTTAGCATAAACCTGTAGGCTCTCGACTCAACTTCATTTTGCATTGTAATTGTCCACAGCTGATGAGTACCACACTGGGAAAAAACATCTATTCATTCCACTCTGATTCCTCATATTTCTTTAAATGTCTTCACTTCATGACAAAAACGTGCATAAAATAGGAAATAACTGAACAGATTTTGTATCTTGATCAACAACTTCTGAGGTACTATCAAACTGTTTAATTCGAAACACCACCTTTAATATCTTGACCAAATCACTTTACTATTCAACCTTGATCGAAACAAACAACTATTTGTTTACAGGACAAGATATATGGAAATATCCTTTGGGAGCGAAGTGATCTATTAGAAATCTATGCTGTTAGTGCAAGGGATGGTGATTTAGGTAAACGAAAGCTCAGATGGGGAAAGCCATTTTTTTGTTTAGTGCAAAATTACACAATATCATGGTAAAATATGAAAACCGTACAATACATGTATTATTTGCACATCTTCCTTCAGTTGTCGTTTACATGCTTCATGATTGTTTCAGTTCTGTTGTTATTCCAATGTCCTCTGTTTTCTTTCCTGTTCTTCTCAATTCCACCATCTGTTGGTTAGCATTTTACTTCCAATTGATGCTGCATACTACTTATATCTGTAATCATAAGTAGCATACAACACAATGCAGCATCAGTTATAAACTGTGTATATATAACAAACATTGCTATAATTACATCACCATGTTTTTCATTTCCTACCTATGCACCTGGCAGGACAGCTCTTTTCAGAAGTTAGCCTCTGAAGTAAGAAATCGGCGTACCTGCACAACACATATATTTTTAAAATTGAAAGACGCGGTTCGAGTACAAAGAATGGGAAACTTGTTACAAAATAATTTTATTCATTTTTCTGAAGTTTCAGCTTACGTAGGGCTTATTAATATTCTGGTACGTTTACTCTTTGCTGCCCTGCAATAAGAAAAAACAAACATTGGTAACGTCGTGTGTAATGACTTTTAATAACCGTTACACTACCTTCTCTCTCCATGAGGCACTGTCTTCAGTGCCTGGTTGTAGATGTGGGTATGATGACCCTCCCTTTTGGTGGCACTTTATAATGGCTGACAGCAGTCGGAGGATTGAGAAACTGCGTATCTAAGTGCACCGTTGTTCTGTCTGGCTTCAATTGATTGTAGTGTACTGTTATAACATCGTCTTGGGGATATTATAGGTTATGTAGGAGTAATGTAGTAGGGGACCGAATAAACACAATTTCATAAGGCACTTGCCAGGACTGGTGAAACTTACTGCATGTTCCCGGTGGTGCCAGAGGACGATGCAGCCAAACACGACCTCCAGATTTATATACGAGCCCGTTCGCTTGTCAGTCTTACACACCCTTTTTGGTGTTTGCTGTCATTTTGTAGGTTGGTTTTTGTTATATCCTAGTGAAGACATAAGTACAGGTAACTTCTGGGACCTATCAACGGACTATTATTCTATATATATTCTTATTGTTTAACTATTCAGTAATTAGATTGTGTATATCTATATTCATCTTATTATAACCTTCATTTTGAGCTATGGATTATTATTATACGAATAACTGTCCCTAAATTATATTCAGTTTATTGATTATTGTCTCCCATGTTCACAACCACATTTGGCTTGATTTTGTACAAATATTATATTCTATTTTATGGTGTGATGCGGTCTGTCTGTCTGGTATATAAACAGAGTATGCTTCGCATAGATCCGCATAGCTGAATCTGTAATAGGTGTTGTGGACTCAATTGGAGGGGCTAGACGGGCAGAGGACCAATAAGGACGCTAGACTACTCATACTGGCCTAACGTCATTGATTTGTCACAGTGTTAAAAGGCATTGGGGTATTGCATCATCCCAACATTCCGTCGACGACATATTGACAAACGATTGTAGAACAGTTTTGATGGTTCTGCTTCTTATTTCCACTAAGCCATTACCTTCTGGGTGGTATTCGGTAGTGTGCGTTTTGCGGATTCCCAATAATCGGCATACCCGGGCAACGAGATGGTTTTTAAAAGCTGCACCTTGGTCAGAACGGAGTAAGGATGGAGCGCCGTAACGGGAGACCCAATGATCATTAAAAGCTCGAGCGACTGTGGGGGCATTTTGCTGTGGTATAGGAACGGCTTCACACCATTTGCTAAAATAGTCTACCATCACTAGTATATAGCGGTTTCCGTTCTTTGACGTTATAAGTGGCTTTATAATATCGATATCAACCAGCTGATGTGGACTTCCTTTCGTCATTAAAACTAACGTTGCACGGGGTATTCGTTAAGGTGACTTGATGGCATAGCACGTGCTACGATTTTTGCAGAAGTCTGCTGGGTCTTCATGAATGGATGGCCATCAAAAACTCTGCAAATCGCATGTTCAGTTTTACGTTTTCCAGAGTTCTCGGTGCACCTGCTCCATAATATTTTGAGCTTGTACACGTGGTACTATCAACGGTGACTGTTTCGACTCACTAACTATAAATAACGTGTCTTTATACAATCTCAGACTACTCCACTTGGCACAAAGACGGCGCGTCTCTAAGGGATGATCCTTAAACTGCGCCATAGATGGTTTATGATTTTCGTGTAGTTGCCTTTGATAAATGAATCGCAGATCAGGGTCTGCTACTTGAAGAGACGGCCAGTCGATCTGGGGTGTTATGCTAAGGACAGCACTAACGTTACTAGGAAAATAGGATATATGAGACAAAGAATCGGTGTTTGTGTGTCGGCTTCGGGGTCGGTATTCGCAAGTGAAATCGAACTCCTGAAATCTCTCCTGCCTGCGCACCACCTGACCTTCTGGTTCGCGAAATTAACGAAGCCACTGTAGTGCACTGTGGTCTGTCCATACACGGAAAAGGTGTCCTAGGATGTAGTGACGGAAATGTTGCAAAACGTTTATCAAAGCCAGGAACACTTGGTGCGTCGCAGAATACCTTGTATCTCTCTTATCTAACCGCCGCATAGCGTACGCTATGACTCACTCCTGTCCATCTTGTACTGTTTGAGACAGTACCGATCCAATAACTAACGAGCTAGCATCAGTATCAACTATAAACTCACATCCTTTAGCAAAAGTGTCCGGAAAGGCTAGCATGGGTGGAACAGTTAGACATGACTTCAAAGTACTAAATGCCTGTTGACATTTTGTGGTCCACAAAAATTTCCGTCCTTTATGCGTCAGGCAATGTTAAAGTGCTGCCAGAGATGGGAAATCGCGTACGAAACGTCTATAGTAAGAAGCAAGTTCCAGGAAGCTGAGAACATCCTCAACAGATTTCGGCTGTGGCCAAGTTAATAATGGCACTCGTTTTTTCTTTATCTATTTCTACTCCATTTTCGGTAATGAGATGTCCCAAATAAATGGATGAACTTTGCACCAAAATCCAAGACCTATTATCGTAAATCTAATTGGTTCATCTTTAAATTATAGTCTAACCTAAAACTGGAATGAAATGAGCATTCTCGATCATAATGCTAATTCACTTATAATTATCATTACGTATGGTTAATTTCAGTTGAAAACATTCATCTTAAAATCATCTGATTGTCAAATTGAACAATCAATACTTATTTGATTATCTGAGTTCCATACGGAATCGATTGGTGCCATATTGTTGGTGGTTAATAATAATAATCAACTGGAATTATTCTAAGAAATGTAATGACATTCTATACATATGACTAGTCTTTTCATCAGTTATATAAAACATATTCCAGAAATGTCTTTGATTGAATGAACACAATTTCCTGTATTTTTTATTAATGTCTAATTGTAGTGAACATGAACACTAGTTGTGGACAATCGAATGTATTTGATCACATATTACAGACTATCTCACTAAATTCTGATAATCATACAATGAACAGTTCATTTGCAAACTATCAATCAATTGTCTCAATCTTAACTGTTCCTTCTGAGAATGTCAATCCATTGCCTCTGATTTTATTGTTCATGCATTTTTGTACATATTGCACTTCATTTCTGTTCGTTCCTCATCGATTTTCTGCCAAAATACATTCTATGCCTGATCATCACCATATACTACTTATATGGATATAAGTAGACCACACCACATAATAACAGATAAGATTTTTATTTGTTTAGACAAATCATTTAGAAAGTCTAAATAGTTATGGATCATGTGAATTAATTTCTGATTAGATAAGTTGAAAAAAAGAAATGTAAAAATCATTCACAAGTCATCATTTTTATAACTTGTAACCTTGTGTCCTATCAATGATATCGCCAATTAAAGAATAGTGAATTATCGATCGAACCAATGACGCATATAAACCGCGCGAGACTAGAATTTATGAACGAGTCAATTAGAAGAGTTTGAGGGATTTCAAGGTCATAGCGCCAATTTGAGTACTTGATGCTCATGTACATTCGGTTTACAGAGGATTTTAGAGAAGACTTGACAAGTAAGCGGCTTCAACAAATGAGACTAAGAAGTTTCTGTATTTGTAATTGCGATAATTAAATGACTTGTAGACCTTGTGCAGACTACCGTGATGTTGTCCTTCGATGTATTATATTGTTGAAAGAAGACGTTTTTTAGAATAGAAGCCTTTATCGCTCGATCCAGATTCAGATTAAGGCATATTATGACAATTTCCGCGAACTGTATAATAAAAGCACCAGTAACACTGGCTGCAATATTCGCAGATGTTGCTGAAGCTTCGGTTGTTAAGTGGTATGAGTTCCTCCATCTTATGCATTACGATTTTGCAGCCTTTGAACCTTTTTCTAACCTTGACAAGTTTTTGGAGCATATAAAAGTAGTGTATCCACTTTAATCATTCGGAGTTGTACAATATATGTTTACCCTATGCTGACTGTTTACTGATTGGCTCACATTTCTCAAGGTCACTTAAGATTCGCTCAAAGGTCGTCCATAAATTATAGTCTCGCCTCAGCCTGTGTGATATGAATTATGTATTTTAAACATACTGGGTTTTTATATACAAATCAAACAGACCACATGGTACCATAAATAGAAAATACACATTTATACAAGATTCAGCCCAAAGTGTCTGTGAGTGTAGAAGACAGTAATTGATAGACCGGACATAACTTAAGAATGCTAAGTCGTATAATAATAGTCTATGGGTCAAAATAATGCTTATAACAAGGGGAATATAAATATGCATAGCTTAGCTACGTAACAATTATACAATAAAAAATAGATGTATAGTATTAGACCATAAATATAGATCCCAACAGTTACCATTCATTATTCTCGTCGGGACATAATCAATCACCTGAAGATGATATTTAACACATGAACGATACCGCTATAATCAAGCGGTTAGGAGACATATTTTAAAAATCCCTCCAGATGACATATATAGACCAATAAAATATTATCTCTTCCCTTGATGATCATTGGTTAGTTGTTCAAATTCAAACATCCTTTCATAGTATATATATATATATATATTTTTTTCAAATCGATTAATCAATATTAGACTAATTGACCTTGAATTTTTCTACTTTTGATTGGATAAGAAGAAAAAAAAGTTTCCATAATTAAGATCAATGATATTTAGCCCAGCTGTTAAAATAGTCAGTTTAAAGGATAAAGAACATTAAATTACTATTGTATCACTGATCAAATCTTACTTGATCAAAGTTTTCAGAAGGATTATACTCAGAATAAATATTAATTTTTTACAAGTAAGGACCTTATTATTATGTATTTAGATTATTATGTATACCTTATCTATTTATGTTTGATACTAAGACTTCGTAAAGAGATTGGTTCAGAAGGCTTTGGTTAAATTATCCTTTAGAGAGTTAACCTGGTTTCACAACCTGAATACACTGTTTCCAATACGAGGATGTTTTCTAAGTATACTTATAAAGCTCGTTAAAAAAAAAAACAAATAATTCTAAAATATGGTTACAACTGGGTCTTTTTTATTCGAGTGCTACATGAATACAAGGATTTCTTTTGTGGAATTATTCAAGCTTTCATAAAGTCTGTATAAACATTGACTGAACTCTATCCAATATAAGCCATGATGTAATCTGTGAATGACATTTTGCAGATAGGATCAAAGTAGTTCATGTTCATGGCGATCTTGATATTTTGATTTCTTAGTGAATGTGCATCGGCCTGGAATGATGGATTATTGAATATCTAATTTTTCCATAGTTGAAATCATGAGTTAATTAAAGCTAAATCACCATGGAAAACCTGAAGCACTGGATGGCCGTTTCGTCCTACTGAGGAATCCCACAATAAGACGAAATGGCTGTCGAGTACTTCCAGGTTTTCCATTGTGGTCTAGCTTTAATTGACTCATGAATTCAACTATTAATCTACTTTAATTGTTTTAAATGAAATCTCCATGTTAAAAACTTGAATCTTTATATATTTCATAAATGCTGATATTTCACTTGAATATTCGATAAATGACATTTAATTCAATGGATTTTGATATCAAGGACTGATTTTGATTAGATTAATAAATTTGAAGTCTGAAGTTCCTGGATTCAATTTCCCGTATGATTGTAAATGCTCACTGGCACCAAAGAGTCATATATTAGGACGGAATAGTTATCAAATTGTTCTTTGTTTTTATTAATTGACTAACCAAAGCCAGTTCATGATGTGAAACTTTGAATTCAACAATAACCTTAATAACCTTGTAACACCTTTTAATTCTTCTTCATTTCGGTCATTATTTATAACTTTCATGGATGACGTTTTTGTCGTATTAAAAAAAATGAACTCAGCTAAATTTTTAGTTCATACCGACGGAACAAATGGATCCTTATTAACCACGAATAAGATCTTGTTCATTATTGATATGCTTGTTATTTGATAGTGAAACTAAAGAAGATACATTGATGTAGTTAAGTGTTTTTTCATGATGAGTTGAAGTAAAAGTATTGTCTATCAATTCAATATTATATAAAACAACCAGATTGACAGGGAAAACGTTGGATTTACTTCAAATTCATTCGCTGTGATTTTGTAAATATTATCCTCCTATTTAGTGTCTTACATCAACTCGGCACCCAAATACTGTGAAACTATTCGCTCTGCTAGAGATGTTCAATTCTAAATTACCTATATATGAAAATCAATCACGCTTGATGGAGAAACTCTGGAAGAGGTGGGATATTTCACGTACCTGGGAAGCATCATTGATGAAGAAGGAGGATCTGATGCAGATGTGAATGCAAGGAATGAGGTAGCAATGACAGCATTTCTACAATTGAAGAACATATACAACTCAAAACAACTGTCAACCAATATCAAACTTAGAATCTTCAATACGAATGTCAAGACAGTCAGTTTTACTGTATGGAGCTGAAACGTGGAGAACTAATACAACCATCATCAAAAAGGAACAAGTATTTATAAACAGTTGTCTACGCAAAATACTCAACATTCACTCGCCGTATACCATAAGCGGCAGCCTTTCACATGAGAGGACTAACCAGCTTCCAGCTAAAGAGGAAATTAGGAAGACGTTGGAGGTGGATATGACACACATTAAAGAGATCATCTAACTGCATCACGAGGCAAGCGCTAACTTTAAATCCTAATGGGAAACAGAAAAAAGACAGACCAAGGAACACATTGCACCGAGAAACGGAAGTAGACATGGAAAAAATGAGTAGCAACTGGAAACAACTGGTAAGGATTACCCAGGACAGAGTATGATGGGAAATACTAGTTGGTGGCTTATATTTCTCCACAACTTATTAATTATCTATTAAATTACTGCAATCTTCACAAAACGCTTCTTTCTAATAATATAATAATTCCCCCAAAAAACGTAACTTACATTAATTCATGATGTATCAGCAATTTTAATCACTTTATTCACTATTTTTATGAAATAATTCCGATGTTTCTCCCACGAAACTTGTCTTGGCTTCTTCATGGTAAATTGTTTAATTGTTTCTGTTTTTTCTTTGTTATAGTTGATAATTATGTATATTTTAAATAGAACAAATCGAATAAATGCACTTAGTATTGTTTGTTTGAATTTTCCCATCGATGTGTTAGGACTGCAACTGGTCAGTCTCTTATTGGCATATGTGCATCACGTATGGACCGCTTCGATATTGCCTTAATTCACAAGCATGGTAAGCAAAGATGGATAGTGGCTAGCAGTGGAATCCAGTTTGACGCGCGTCTCGTCCTATTTGGGACTCGTCAGCTGGATGTACCTGCATCTCAGAGCTGATGTTCACTCTGAGACTCGAACCCAGTATCTTTCGCTTCAAACACCATCGCGTTATCCACTCGGCCACTGAGTCCTCATAGCCACTTGCTTGTGCAATGGGGTGAAGTTGAAATTTACTTAGTATTATTTGTTTGGATGTTCCCATTGATGCTTTTAGGACTGCAACTGGTCAGTCTCTTATTGGCATATGTGCATACTGTGCGTATTGCCTCGATATTGCCTAAATTCACAAGCATGGTAAGCAAAGATGGATAGTGGCTAGCAGTGGAATCCAGTTTGACGCGCGTTTCGTCCTATTTGGGACTCGTCAGCTGGATGTACCTGCATCTCAGAGCTGATGTTCACTCTGAGACTCGAACCCAGTATCTTTCGCTTCAAACGCCATTGCGTTATCCACTCGGCCACTGAGTCCTCATAGCCACTTGCTTGTGCAATGGGGTGAAGTTGAAATTTACTTAGTATTATTTGTTTGGATCTTCCCATTGATGCTTTTAGGACTGCAACTGGTCAGTCTCTAATTGGCATATGTGCATACTGTGCGTATTGCCTCGATATTGCCTAAATTCACAAGCATGGTAAGCAAAGATGGATAGTGGCTAGCAGTGGAATCCAGTTTGACGCGCGTTTCGTCCTATTTGGGACTCGTCAGCTGGATGTACCTGCATCTCAGAGCTGATGTTCACTCTGAGACTCGAACCCAGTATCTTTCGCTTCAAACGCCATTGCGTTATCCACTCGGCCACTGAGTCCTCATAGCCACTTGCTTGTGCAATGGGGTGAAGTTTAAATTCAACTTAGTATTGTTTATTTGAATCTTCCCATTGATGTGTTAGGACTGCAACTGGTCAGTCTCTAATTGGTATATGTGCATACTATGCGTATTGCCTCGATATTGCCTTAATTCACAAGCATGGTAAGCAAATCGAATAAACCATAAACCTTAGTAACAATATTTTTTTCGGTGTTTTTACTTACCATTCGAATCATCAATCTTAGTTGATTTAAAGATTTTTTTCTTACAACCTACCTTATATTCATTAAAAGTAAATTAAACATTCCATTATTATTAAACATAACATAATATTATCATGTGAACTGATCAAATACCTATTGAGTAACTATAGAATCATTCATATATAGAACTATAATTCATAAAACATCTTAGTAACACTTAACTAGTCTCATATATTTGATAAAAGTGAACAAAAGGGGAT